CGAGGGGACATCGGGACGCCTGCTCCTGAAGCCTGATGGGGCCCCCGTGACGTGATTTTATGCATTCGGGCTTGATACTGCCACCAGGCATTCCTATTCAAGAGTCTGGATTGATACGACACTTGGAGCACTTATTCCCCCTCTAGCGTCAGAAATCTTACGTTTTCTGACTGGTTCCTCTGGCTCCTGCTCTGCCAGAGAGCACTTGGAAGGAGATTAGTCGTTTCTGCCAATTTTGGGTACGAGTCTAAGAGTTTGACTTTGGCTACTCTGTGTTCTGTGTGTTCTATCGCAGTCCATATCATCAACTCCAGTGCTTGCGTCACAGTCCATATCATCAACTCCAGTGCTTGCGTCACAGTCCAGGTCATCAACTCCAGTGCTTGCGTCACAGTCCAGGTCATCAACCCCACTCGTTGCGTCACAATCCAGATCGACATCATTCTCTGCGTCTTACGAAGCTCAGCTCGACAGTCCTTGATCGATCCAGATATTCATTTTTGTCCGACTTCAGTAATCTGAACATAATCCCCAGTCATTCTCCATCGCGTGGCTGGTGGAGTGATCCAGGCCGTAAGCCCCTTCCTGAAGGAGGGTCATAGGGGTCTGGGGTCCTATGAGGTATACCAGTAAGGCAGGTCTGGGGTCCTATGAGGTATCCCAGTAAGGCAGGTCTGGGGTCCTACGAGTGATCCCAGTCCTAATGTCTGGGGTCCTACGAGTGAACCCAGCCATAACCCGCTCCTGGGGTCTGGTATAATACAAGTCGTTCCTATTATTCCTGTAATTGATTGTCTGGAGTCCTTGGAGAGATTCCTGCCATAAAGTGCTGAGGGAAGTGGGGAAGGGCTAAGGCTAGGATCACAGACCTTAAGGCCTTTGATCAGTGTGCAAGAAGCCAATCTGGAGAAGAGGCATCTCTCTCTCTTTCTTTGGACCAGTGATAAGGTATCAAATCGTGTTAGGTGCGGTGAAAAATGAAAATCCTATCTATAAATTGGTGAGAGAGAGAGAGGGAGGAGGGAGGGAGGGAGGGAGAGAGAGAGAAAGAGAGAGAGAGAGAGAGAGAGAGAGAGAGAGAGAGAGAGAGAGAGAGAGAGAGAGAGAGAAGAGAGAGAGAGAGAGAGAGAGAGAGAGAGAGACTGACTGATTTAATACTTGGATTTTTCGAAGATAAACAAATTAATGTTCTAATTGTTCAAACCGAAGGTTTGCATTCTCAGTCCTAGACAATGTCCTGACTGTCAGTCCTAGACAATGTCCTGACTGTCAGTCCTAGACAATGTCCTGACTGTCAGTCCTAGACAATGTCCTGACTGTCAGTCCTAGACAATGTCCTGACTGTCAGTCCTAGACAATGTCCTGACTGTCAGTCCTAGACAATGTCCTGACTGTCAGTCCTAGACAATGTCCTGACTGTCAGTCCTAGACAATGTCCTGACTGTCAGTCCTAGACAATGTCCTGACTGTCAGTCCTAGACAATGTCCTGACTGTCAGTCCTAGACAATGTCTGGAGTGAGAGCCAACATCACTCTCACTACAAATCCAACAATATTTATACCAAAAATGTCCCTGCTTGCCTACCGCGGTAAATGAAGCCCCTCAGCCAACTTTATCCCCCACAACGTTGTGTAGTTTATGTAAATTGTCTCCTTTAGAAACTTGATGTTGATAGTGAGACGAGGTTTTAATCCTCTAAGACTTATATCTTTGCTTTCAGCGGCGCATTTTATCAGGTCAAGTTTCCAGGGGCCAGTTTTATTTAGTGTAGGATAAGTTTTTAGTTTTTTGACATTATCTTTATTCCTTTAAGCATTGTGTAGAATATATATATATATATAATATATATATATATATATATATATATATATATATATATATATATATATATATATATATATATATATATATATATATATATATATGTATATATATATATGTATATATATATATATGTATATATATATGTATATATATATACATATATACATATATATATATATACATATATATATATGTATATATATATATATATATATATACATATATATATATATATATATATATATATATATATATATATATATATATATATATATATATATATATATATATATATATATATATATATATATATAAACTTCTCGAGGTTATCCTAAGCCTACTATTAGCCTTCCCATAGAATGCAATTCACAACGATTGTCTAATATCCGGGAATCTATTTTACTGTTAGGTGAACAGGTGAATTAGGTGAAAAGAAAGATTGCTCAACCGTTTGTGTTCAGCCCTGGGACACTATTTGATTAAGAATCTTAATTATATTGCTTAATTCTCCTGTGCATGAGAGCCCTTGCAAATTTAATTAGATTCTAATTAAATTGCAACTATCATAGCAAGTCTTGCTAACACATTTCACTAATTCAAGTTTTAATTGACCACAATTAATTACTATTAACACATGAAATTGCATTTGTTTGTTAACAAGAACTTAATTAGTTATTCAAACACGAGTGTTTAGATCCCATTGTTTAATAGTCAAGTAATGTTTAGTATTGTGTACCATTAGAACCAACACTGTGAGTGGACTGTGTAGGCGAGATCCTTGACGCCTGTCTGTGTAGCACACACACACACCAACATGTCTGTGTAGCACACACACTAACATGTCTGTGTAGCACACACACACACCAACATGTCTGTGTAGCACACACACCAACATGTCTGTGTAGCACACACACACACCAACATGTCTGTGTAGCACACACACTAACATGTCTGTGTAGCACACACACACACCAACATGTCTGTGTAGCACACACACTAACATGTCTGTGTAGCACACACACACACCAACATGTCTGTGTAGCACACACACTAACATGTCTGTGTAGCACACACATCAGGCTACATCATGTGTAGACTCCCCCAGGCCTAAATACGGCCTGACTCCCCCAGGCCTTAATACGGCCTGACTTCCCCAGGCCTTAATACGGCCTGACTCCCCCAGGCCTAAAATAGTACATATACGTACTATAATAGGCCTAGGAATATTCAAACATGGTTTTTAGTTTTAATTTTTTCCTCACTCTATAAAAAAATTATTACATAATGTGGCTCCATTACTACATATTCATTTAGTATGAATATGTAGCAGTGGATAAGTAATATAATACCTAAAGTGCCCTCACCTAACCAATCACAAGACCCACAAACAGAAAACGGGACAGTAGGTCAATTTCACGAGCCGCTTCCATTTTCTAGTACGACAATTTTTGGTCTTAGGTTAAGCATACGTCAGAATACGACGTGCTATTAGGAGGACCGGTCGGCCGAGCGGACAGCACGCTGGACTTGTGATCCTGTGGTCCCGGGTTCGATCCCAGGCGCCGGCGAGGAACAATGGGCAGAGTTTCTTTCACCCTATGCCCCTGTTACCTAGCAGTAAAATAGGTACCTAGGTGTTAGTCAGCTGTCACGGGCTGCTTCCAAGGGGTGGAGGCCTGGTCGAGGACCGGGCCGCGGGGACACTAAGCCCCGAAATCATCTCAAGATCTCTAGATAACCTCCCCTATCTGCTTCCTCTTCCTTCTGCTTATCTTTTTCCTTCTCCTGCTTTGCTCAATCACTTGGGCAAAGAGAGTGGCTGTCTCGCTTCATGCAGGTCGGCGTTCGATCCTGCGACTGTCCAAGTAATTGAGCACCATTCCTTCCCCCCGTCCCATCCTAAATCCTTATCCTGACCCCTTCACAGTCACATATAATGGCTTGGCGCTTTCTACTGACAGTTCCCTTCCCTTGTCCCTGCTCCCTCGTTCTATTTCTCAAATTCAAATTCAAAATTCAAATTAAAAAAAGACAAGGGAGTCTTTTGTCTTTTCTCCTCTTGTTTCCTCTTTTACTTTCTTTATAATGGTGTTTTTTATTTTATATATTTATTTATATGTTATATAGTTGTATTTTAGCGAGTTATAAATTTGCTGATGACACCTGTGGGGGCCTCGTAGCCTGGTGGATAGCGCGCAGGACTCGTAATTCTGTGCCGCGGGTTCGATTCCCGCACGAGGCAGAAACAAATGGGCAAAAGTTTCTTTCACCCTGAATGCCCCTGTTACCTAGCAGTAAATAGGTACCTGGGAGTTAGTCAGCTGTCACGGGCTGCTTCCTGGGGGTGGAGGCCTGGTCGAGGACCAGGCCGCGGGGACACTAAAGCCCCGAAATCATCTCAAGATAACCTAACCTCAAGATAACCTGTGTGGCGATGTACGCCTCTGGCAGTGTATGTACGTATAGAAATGTATACATGTAGCAGTGTGCGCATGTGCCAATATACACGCGGCAATACACATATGTATTCACCTAGTTGTGTTTGCGGGGGTTGAGCTCTGCTCTTTCGGCCCGCCTCTCAACTGTTACTAACTACTATATATATTTTTTTCCTACACTACACACACGCCAGGAAGCAGCCCGTGACAGCTGACTAACTCCCAGGTACCTGCTTCCTGGTGTGTGTGTGTGTGTGTGTGAGAGAGAGAGAGAGAGAGAGAGAGAGAGAGAGAGAGAGAGAGAGAGAGAGAGAGAGAGAGAGAGAGAGAGAGAGAGAGAGAGAGAAAAGTAGTTAGTAACAGTTGATTGACAGTTGAGAGGCGGGCCGAAAGAGCAGAGCTCAACCCCCGCAAGCACAACTAGGTGAATACACACACACACACACACACACACACACACACACACACACACACACACACACACACACACACACACACACACACACACACACACACACACACACACACACAACTCCAGGGGATCATGTAGTTCTAACTTACCAAGGAGATTTACACAAAAATTTGTGTAAATCGTCTTCTCGTACCTAAATCCCTGTGATCTATAAACCACTTATATTAATACATTATGTTGCATAAATTTGTGATATACTAACAGCATATCGTATCCTAACATACCCTGTATTATACTGTATTCGTCAATGTAATTATAGGCTTACCTTGATGTAATAGCGAATTGTGCCACTCTTGCTCTCAAAGGAACACGGCAGAGAGCTCTCCGGTAACTGGAATTTAAAGGGAAATGTGTGGAAAC